CCATGCGGCATGCCGGTCTTTTAGGGCCCCACACTGACCTCTGATGGCCCGTGCTGGCCTGTAATAAGGACCCACCTTAGCCTCTGAGGGCCCCGCACGGGCTTCTGAAGACCTGATGCCGGCCTCTAAGGGCCCGCATCGGCCTCTGAGGGCCCATCTTAGCCTTTGAGGGCCCTCTAATGGCCTCTGGGGCCCAACGCCGGCCCATGTTGGTCTTTTAGGGCCCCACGCTAACCTCTGAGGGCCCCATGCTGGCCTGTAAGGACCCACATTAGCCTCTGAGTGCCCAATTCGGTTTCTGATGGTCTCAAACTGCCCTTTGCAGGTCCTGTACTGGTCTCTGAGGGCCCTAATTTTGCCCCTAAGGACCCAAACCAGCCTTTAAAGGTCCCACACCGGCCTCTGATGGTCCCAACTCCCATTTCTGTCTTTGGGACCCAAACTGACCCTTATGTGCCTCTGAGGGCCCCGTACTGGCTTCTGAAGGATCGATGCCGGCTTCTGAGGACCCATAACGGTCTTTAAGTGCCTCATACCGACACCTGAGGCCCCACACTAGCCTCTGAGGGGCCCCAAACTGGCCTATGAGGTCTCTACACCGGCCACTGATGGCCCTATTATGTTCTCTGGGGGGCTCAAGCCTTAACTTTGGGCGTCACGCACTTGCCTCTGAAGGCCCACATCAGCCTCTGGGGCCCTACCTTGGGCCTTTGCCCTTTGATGCCCTTCGCTGACCCTTGGGTCTAACACCGGCCTCTGGGGGGTCTGACACCGTACTCTAAGGGCCCCATTGCAGCCTCTAGGCGATAGGTATCGCCGAAGCGCTATCGATGGGCCCATAAGGGCGCTGTACGGTGAGGAGGGCGCTATAATACGATAAGGAGGGCGCTGACAGGTCAGGAGGGCGCCGGCAAGTGTGGAGGGCGCAGAAAGATCAGGAGGATGCTGTGTGGTAAGGACCATGAAGGCGCCGACTGGTCAGCCCAGAGGGCGCCGAATGTGAAAAGGGCGCCGGCAGGCCATAAGAGCGCTGAATGGCGAGAAGGGCGCCGACAGATCAGAAGGGCGCCGAACAGACAGAAGGGCGCTGAAGATGATGCCAGGGTGCTAGATGGTCAGGAAATTGGAGGTGGATGTCTGGCAGTTCAGGATTGTGGGTGCATCTTCACCCACAAAGAGATATAAAATTGTAAACCTGGGCGCCAGTGCCGCATGGTGTACCGCAATGGCTAACCGTCGAGGGCGCCTAGAGTGCTGGACATTAGAAAGGCGCCTTCGGCGCCCCGAAATGATCGTGGAAGGCGCCATCCAGTGAGGGCGCCTACTAGATTTGGGGGGGGGGGGGGCTAAAGCCCAGTGTGCCCCCCCCCCCCCCTTGGCTGCGCCCCTGTTTAGAGCGTTTTACTGTTGTGTTTTCTATCAAGATAAGGTCGATGAGATTGTTGCCTGTGCCCGCGTTATGTACCTACCTACTGTGTGCGGCCGTCTGATCCTTGCGGGGCGGACGACCATTGACGTCATTTCGTCAGCTGAGCAAATGTAAACAAACCTACTGACGAGTTAACCCCCTAATATACGGCCTTGGACGATAAACCGATTAATGAATATTGTCCTGGGCCCTGGCCCCTGTCTCACGGCCCGACGCTGCGCGCGCTGGGAGCTAAGGCATACCCCTGACGTCACTCGAATGACGTAGCGAGCGATCTGTTAGCTTATGATGAATCGCGTTTGGAACAGAGGTCCTAAGGAACCAAGTACAAAGAGAACAGGTTTGAGTGCGAATGCTGCTAGCGTGCTGGCGGAGCGGCGCGCTAGCGTTTTGCGATGACGTCATAGCTTAGCGTCAGAGTGAAGTTTGTTGATATTGCCATGGAAACCCAACGCGCCGACGCGCGCAGCGCACTCAGCGATCTGCTGTGAAACACCACCCTGGAGCCAAGGTCACTGGAGTAATTGGGAGACATTTTCACTGAAGTTCCTCTACGTCATTAACGCCTTTGGTTTCACACTCGAACGCCGTCAACAGCCACAGTATCTATAATAGGGCAAAGTTTCCCGAGTATTTCATGATAGTAACTACAGAATGCATATGGACCAGAGACATGCGATCAGCAGCTCATGACTATGACATTCGGTTGAAATAAATCAACCACCAATGAAGTCATAGCCTACGATTAGGCAGCCCAATTCAAAGAAGATATGGAGCCGTAGATTTGTGGACGGCTCCGGCTCCGGTTGAGTACCTAGGCTCATATTGAGCTTCGGACGCCACAAGCCATTTGCTACTTCTTCCCCACTTTCTTACCCCCCCCCCCTTCCTCCCTGATTCCGCCACTGGCGGTTTCTGTCGCCTGCCGGCGCAGATGGAATGGGTGCGCTCGGACGGCTCAGTCGACTGTTGTTGTAAAGCGCAATTTGTTAAAATATGTGCAATTCTAACGCCGAATTAATTCGAAAAAGTGTCGAATGCCAAATCGTCTCCTGACTACAATGTTTGATGGATTGGCAATATCGTTGGTACCGAAGCATTATGAAACATTTATCTCGCTTTATTGAAGAGAGCAGGTTAAACTGAGCACGTTTATTGTCTTTAATTGCGTACAACTCTCGGTTCGATATAAGCGCACTCTGTCTATTGAAAGCGCACCTCTAGGTCACGTGACTGGGGTGTGTCACGTGATTGCGCTTAAAACCGAAATCGGCGTCACATGAGCAAACGCTGCCACTAAACGTAGCCCGTTCCTTTCGGAGCAGGCCCGCCGACGTAGCACACTAAGCAGTGGGTTTCCGCCACCGGGTCTAATCCAGGCGAGAGTCGATTGCTCTCCCTGCACTTCCTCACTAGAGAGAATCGTTTAGGCGCTTGTAGTCATTACAGTGGAACTACAAAGACCATTTTTATGTATTAAGCCCGGATATATAATAGGGTGTTGACTTTTATGTGATGTCGAGGTAAAAATGTAAAAACATCTCTCAAGGTTATCACATGTTTGAACACAAAACATTGCAAAGGTGCTGATAATTGGGGATCTCTTACATAACGTCTACCCAATTTACCTGCATTTCTAAGCTGAGGTATTTCCCAAAGCCGGCATTTCCAAGGATATGATTTATGAATGTCACAGGTGGATGGAAACAGCGCTATTAGCTGAAGGATATCCGTCAAAGTCGTGGGTCGACCAAGAAGACCAATGTGGCCTGTTGCATAACGCATCAGACATATTAAAGACTGAGTTATGAAAGAGAGTGGGGTGGAGATGAAGGGTCAAAATATTTCTTGCCGATGATCCTAACAGAAGGACAAATAACGCAATGCAATTTGCTTAAGCGTTAGATGGTTACACATAGTTTTTGCTGAAGCTCTTTCTGTCTGAAGCCGACTCGTCAATAACATCGTCTGCAATCGACATATTTTCCTGATAAACTAACATGACATTTTCCAAAGGTGTGCCTGAGTCTGATTCCCTCATTTAGTTAATGGAAATAGCTGAGGGCGTTACCAACTCTATCCTAACTCTATCTGCTCTGTGAGGGAACTTGTCCAAATGGTACGATCAATAGACGGCTGCGTCCGCGGCTCCATACCGAACTCTGCCGGACACGTAAAGTTCAGGTGATCGTAGCCATGCTCCCATCGGGGTGCGTCAAAGGCTATCAGCTTCGTTGTTTCAAAGCATAACGTTCCAAGGGGGTTATGCGTCTGGGAAGCAAAGGTACTGAGTTGGACCTCTTCAAACTCGGATGCGGTTCGCCCTAAATACAGGTCATTCAGTTCCAATTTTGGCAAAAATTATTGGCGATTAGATGATTGCCAACTGGATCATTGGCGAGTGTAGGCTTGTGAAGAGCATACGAGTAATGCTGACAATGGGAAGTGGCCAGATGCCTTAGAAGCTCTGTTATTATTGAACCCTTCCAGAGTTCTGTTAATTCTTACGACGGCATTAGTCCAGTTGATGTTATACATACGCAGCTGATCGCATGATTATCCATAATTCTTCTAATCACTACATATGCCTGTAATTATTTCGAACATTTATTTCGCCCAGTAATGTAATTTCCGCGAGCCATTCCTCAAAGATACTGAGCAGACAACGGCCTGTCTGGCTCTCATCTCAGTACCGCAGGCACATTTGAAATTCATCTATGATGCATCTACGAGGCTCGAGTACTGGATCCGCAAGGCGCAAACATTACATGGTGCTTCTTCTGCTATCAAAAGCACTCAGCATTATACATTTTGTAAAAGTATCAACGACGGTACAATAATTACATTATGGATCAGGCTGCCACAAATCAGTGAAGCTGTCTGCGTGACTCCGAATCAGTATTTCTGCCGCGCAGCTCCCAGCCTGGTGGATACTACACTGCTGAATATGCCTTGATGCTAACCACCCGATGCTTCTGCTTGCTGTAATGGCAATTTCCAATTCGATACTACAGAGACTTCTACATATTGTCTATGTAGTCCTACTAACACCCAGTAACAGTGTTCACCACAAGATAACCGACCGCAGCTCTGCCCTCCGGCGATATCCCACGAGAAATCTGCTCCTTTGTAAAGCCAGTATTGCTATGGCTGTTCACTGACGGGCCATTGGGAAGGAGTGATGCGCGCTGCCGCCGCGCTGCTCGGTATTCCCGAGAACATCCGATAGGGCGGCTGCCGATAGCAGCCGGCGCGATGGAGAGTTCCTATGGCCCCCGCCCGCCGGCCGGCCGGCGTCCCGTCGAGACTGCCTATCGCTCCACCTAATAAACGAGCTCATTTCTCAAACTGGTCACTACGCCTGCCACCATCTGGCCCAAAGTCCATATAAAACGGATGACATTCATTTTTAAATGCTACGCTGTTGTGGCATGATCATTAATAGTCGTCGACAGAAGGCGTCAGGCGACAGTGGCGGACCATCCGCGCGGCCCCGCCCCACACTCACTATTCCGCATGATCCATTCCACAAGAGATGAAACCACTAAAATAAAATCCCACAGAACCTCACCTTAGTTTTCCGGTACGCTATTTTGTACTCGATGATTGGACTGAAGCTCTTGACCTTCCAGGCGAGGTCGTACGAGTCGACATCACCTCCCATCGGGGCACTGGTGATCTCCACCTTGTCGGCCTCGCCTGGACAGCAGAGGAAACGTCTCTGTCAGGCGACGGCGGGGGTTGTATTTCGGAGTACGTTAACGCGGGATGAGGCCTAGTCGGAGCACCTCACCATGTCAGGTGAAGGCTGCGTGTCGAAAACGAGCCACAGACGGGTGAGGACTATGACCTAGTATGAGTGTGTTTAGAAAAGCTGACTGTTGATGTCGTTCCATTGGTTCCGCTGCCGAGCAAGAGACGCAGCTCAACTCCAGGGTACGTAATTATATATGAGATACAACCAGTCCCCTTAATCGTATGGTAATGTCAAGGTACATCCAACAACACACCGAATTTCGCAAAATAATTATTATGATGAGCAAACGACATCATTCGTTATCATGTCAACAATATTCGAGAAAATGTTGACATTAGTGGCTCTCAAAGGGCTGAAAATTCTGTGATGTAAAGAATCATCTATTCGTTTGATTAAAGTCACTACCCGGAAGGCTGGTCCGCGGCTCTCTGGAGACGAACTCTGCCGTCGAAGCACCTCCGGGGAGCCGATATACGCCGTTATACGTCAGTGATCAGACTGCCGAAACGCGCCAGCTGCGAGAATGACTTAAGAGCAACATAAAATTGGCCGGCCCTAATGACCAATATTTCACTCTTGTTAAAGTAATCATGACGCATTACATCGTAAACTTTTACGAGCGGACGCATTGCAGCCGTTAGGAGTTATTGAGATACACGGCTGGCGGTTGAATATAGACCAGACTGTTACCGGTAGTGCGGTGCGGCTATTTACTAAGCGGATATTTACATAAACTAGGCGACATAAGGGCAAAATAGCACTCTCGGTTTCACAATTAACAGGCTGAGTGAATAATCTAACGCAGCTATGTGAACGGCTAAGTTCTTGTCATCACTTCAGAAAAAGGACCCCACCAGACCAATAGTGGCAAGGGTCTAAGGGGGGCCGCAATAGGCCATTAGGACACGGAAGTTCCACAACAGCTCCCTATGGGAAGGCGGCTTCTCTAGGCCATCGTTGGAGATGGGGCCACACAGGGCCACTCATCTTCTTTCATTGCTAGAAGGTTAGTAGGTACACGGAAGTTGGGCATTTCTGTAACTACGCATTGGTGCGCCATTTTGCCGAGATACCGACACATCATCGATACATTCCAGGTTACCATGAGCATCAAAGGCAAACTATCTCGGCAATATGCGTTTCTATAGCTCTTTTTCAAATGAAATAAGGCGAAAACATGAATGAATCGCTCCTGCCGCATAGTGTGTAATAACATGCACGACAGTGCGTACTGAAGAACGCCAGTTTCGTTGTAAAATCCATGTTGAAACGTACCTGATACGTAAATCTTCCCGTGAGAAGACCCCAGCTGGTTGGTAGCGTTACACGTGTACGTGTCAAAGTCGTCCAATGTCACTTCCTCGATGGTGAGGACGTGCCGTGACGACATAATGACGTCATTTGTCTGACTGATGCGATCAAAATCAATGGGACTGCCGCTTCTAGTCCATGTAACCTGAAACAAAAAGGATTTCACGGAGAAAACGTTTGTAATTAAAGTCAATTACTGCACACCAGGATGCATTACACATGTGCAAACGGATTCTCCCTTGGCCATCCGTATAAATCTGTTTGCCACACACGTTTACTTAGCTAAATTGTTTAATTGGCTTTGCAGATAAATTGTTTCTTCCAATCTCACCTTCCTTCTGCCCATCTCTACACTGAAAACCAAAACGATTCTCTATTCCCTTTGATCATGGTGTGTCATGCTCCTATAACTCTGCCGTTTTCCTGGCGGAATGCCCTTAAGATACTCAAATGATTCCTCAAATGATTCCTTTTAAGCATATCAGGGGTTTTGGTCTAAAACAACACCCTGATCATTTTCTTCGAACATACCCAAACTATACCCTCATTCTTTAAATTCCTCCCTTGAATTCTTCTAATATACCCTAGTGTACAGTCTCTGCCGCTACTGTCAGATACCGTACCTGTGCCGCTCGGCGCCTCCGGCGGTGACCGGTCGGCGGGCCGGGACTGGCCGGCCGGGCGGGCGAGGAGGACGGGCAGTCGCTCCCTGGACGTGTTGCTGACCACTAACCCGCGCCCCGCTGGGCTATTCAGCCATACGCGCCCTGCTGGGGATAGAACCTTAACCCTCGTTTTGGATGTGTTACGATATATAAAGGGAAATCGGACGAGGGAGCTGAGAGTAATGAGACAGTTTCTGAGCAAGTTCTACGACGAATATACCTAGGGCATTATTATTTTCCCTTCTGGGTTTATGTGGGGTCTAATGCAAGAATACATTGAGATCAGTGATGGAAATCACAGAATAATACGGGAGTGTTACGTGGTATAATGCGAGTATAGTTTGCAAAATATTCCCCTTATACGCTTAGAAGGAATACTAGAGGTTTCGATGTAAGGGTATTTTGGTAGGTTGAAAGGAGTGTACTGTGGGTATCGCAGGGAATAGAACAGGAATCATATTCCTTTCCTCTTCGGTACTTACTAGGGTATATTAGAAGAATTCAAGGGAGCTATTTTAAGAACAAGGGTATATAGTTTGGGTATATTTGAAGAAATGATCAGGGTGTTGTTTTAGACCAAAACTCCTAATATGCTCAAAAGGAATCAAAAAGGTTCTCAGTGTAGGGTATATTAGAAGAATTTCAGAGTGATATTCAAAGAAAGTGTATTTGGGGTATATTCGGAGAAATGATCAGGGTGTTGTTTTAGACCAATTCCCCTAATATGCTTAAAAGGAATCAAAACAGCTCTCAGTGTATCCCTTTCTCAAATCTCATTCTATCCAACCACCACTTTCACAAGCTCTCTCTTCCCTTTATTTCCCGTCCTCCGTCTATCTGTAATTCCCTCCCTCTCTCGCCTCCCACTCCCACCCTCTCTGTCCCCTGTCCTCTCTCCTCTCGGGCCGCCATCCGCCGCTCGGCCAGACCAACTGTTCGTCATCGATCGTCCCACACACGACGTCACCGCTGCAGTGTCCCCGTAGAGCCGCCGGACATTGCCACATTCCTAACTTTGCCGTATACAGCCTGCTGCCGCCAACTTTGGCCGCAACACCAGCCGGCTCGGGTTTGATGATCATAACATTTTGTGTAACTAAATGGTATGAAAACAAAACAAGACGGCTAAGGAAATTCAAAGGCAAGTTTCTAATTCGTATTTCAATGTCACTGGAAACAATTTAAACGCAATGCTGACAAAATGAAACGCAAATGAAAAGCTAGATAAGCATAACGCATTTTCTAGAACATTTTTAAGACGAACAGATCTACAATGACACTGATTTCCTGTCGGCTCCAAAAATTGTTGAGACGGCAATGGCGCTGGGTCTGTTGGCTGGCCCATCATGTTCTGATTTTTTACGAGCTTGTGGATTTATTGCTATGCTTAAGATCTTGTAATGAGTAGCTTTTAGTAAAAATGGCTAGGTGGCCCAGATAGCCTCCGCTCAAATAAATTATCCTAGATATTATATAGGTACGCAGCTCAAAGCTGAAATAAGTTTATGTACCTAATTAATTAGTTGTGCTTTTTACATGTCACATGAAGAAACATAATGCACAATCAGCAGCATACACATTGTCTTATGGTATACAGCATTGTCGTATGGCGTGCTGTGACTCAAGCTCGACTTCTAAAACACATTTGCTTTTAAAACGTTTATACCCAACTTTACCTGAACAGCAACAACTTGACATTGAGTCAACATCACAGCTAGCTGAATTGAGAGGACTCTGCAAGGTAAAACGCACATTAGTTGATAAAACTTAGAGCGAGCTATTCAACAATCCACTTAGCCTTGAAATAGCCGATGCTCAGTCTATTCGGGCTCCGCACCAGGGGGACGGTTCAAGGGCTCCTTCCCGGCGATGGGAGCTGCCCAAGTGCCATCGATGTGCTGCTCGCCTGTCCTGAGGGCAACCGTCTGTCTACTGTGCAGTTTCACAGTAGCCAGGCGGTAGATGGTCTCAATTAGTCGGTCTACTGCACCGCCTCACGGTAGAAAGATGGTAGGAAGTCTCACCTGAGCGGTCTACCCCGTCGTTACACAGTAGGCCGACGGCAAATGGTATCACCTCAGCGGTCTACCGCGGCTTCTGACGATAGACATACCGTAGTTGGTCTCACCTCAGTGATCTACCACAGGCAGACCAACGGTAGAAAGTCTCACCTCAGCGGGAGGGTCGGCGTGTACCAAGCAGACCAGCTGAGCGGTGAAGCCCTCCCCCGTGAAGATGGTACTTCGCTCCACTTCAACCTCCGGCGGGTCTGAGGGGCGATATGGGAGAGAGTGAGATGAGAGAGAGAGAGAAAAAAAATAGAAAAAAAATAGAAAAGAGAGAGAGAGAGAGAGAGAGAGAGAGAGAGAGAGAGAGAGAGAGAGAGAGAGAGAGAGAGAGAGAGAGAGAGAGAGAAAGAGAGAGAGAGAGAGAGAGAATGAGCAAGTGAGTGAATGAGTGAGTGAGTGAGTGAGTGAGAGAGACAGCGAGAGAGAGAGAGAGAGAGAGAGAGAGAGAGAGAGAGAGAGAGAGAGAGAGAGAGAGAGAGAGAGAGAGAGAGAGAGAGAGAGAGAGAGAGAGAGAGAGAGAGAGAGAGAGAGAGAGAGAGAGAGAGAGCGAAAGAGAAAGAATGATAGGGAGAGAAAGAGAGGGTAAGCATAACTTTTAAACTGTTGCCACAGATCTGGCAGCTGGATAAGGAACTTGGCAATAAACTCGGTGCAGAAAATGTTCTAGTGGAAATGCATGCAACACTGTCGTAACTTAACATCATACCATACTGCCATCACTACTGTCTTACACCCCGTAGCGGAGTAACCAACTGAACCTGTCAAGCTGAAACACCTGTCGAATACGGCTGTCATATCCTCCAGCCACATATTGCCATCCCCTCCCCTCCCTCCCCCGCACATGCCTCTCCCACCCCATACATCCTGTCGTGAAGTGCCGGCGTCTCATACTGCCTCCTGCGCCGTCCCCGGGTTTATTACACGCCTTTCAGCCTCCTCCCGAGCGGGCGGCATTCCGTCGGAGTCCCGCAGAGCCGCGAGAGCCTCGCCGAGAGCCGACACCAGGCTCTGCCCCATTATCCGAGTTGTCGGCCACAAGTCCGACCATTGTTGGGGCATGAGCGCCGTCGCCGGAATGGTGTTCAACTTGGCACTGAGGCGCCCAGATCAATGTGGTGACAGAGTCGCAGGTTCTTCCCCCATGTCTGATCAGTTCGGCATGATACGTGGGGAGAGACCGCCTTTTTTGTTGGACAAGTCCCTCAATTAGTGGGACATATGTATCTACTTGTCCTGCACTTACATTGGTTCTCCCTCACTAGGATCAATCCCGCCTCCCCGTAGGAAAAGTCTTTACAACTGTAAGGTCATGCACTGGAAAGGATACAGCCTCTTTCTCAGTGGGAACAGCTTTTCCATTTTGACCAGCCTTTATTAAAATTGGACCAGCCCCTCGCTCATTATTTTTCTATCACTTTTAGGTCAGCTTCGCACGCGAGATCCTCAACCCGATGAATACGTGTGTCACTTGGAAGGAGATACCTACACGTGCCGGGATTCACTATAACACTAGCAAGGCAGAGGAAACACAAGTAAAAGCAAAGAGCGCGGGGGCGAGACCGAAGCCAGAAGCGCAGATACACTTACAGAGGACCTGCAGGGTGAGCAGCACAGACGCCGAGTCGCCCACTGGATTGTCGGCGTAACACTCGATGGTGCCGGCGTCGGAGCGAGTGACGCTCTCCAGCGAGAGCACCTCGCCACCGACCAGGTCCACAACGGCGGAACTGCCGTCCACCTGGGGGAGGAGGAGGGGGAGGGGGGACAGTGGTCAGTGGGCTGTGGGCTGTGGTCCGACCAGGTCCACCACGGCAGAACTGCCGTCCACCTGGGGGGGGGGGGGTGAGGTCAGCGGTCAGTGGGCTGTAGTCCGACCAAATCCACCACGGCGGCACTGCCGTCCACCTGGGGAGGGAGTGAGGGGGGGGGGGTGAGGTGAGGTCAGTGGGCTGTGGGCTGTGGTCCGACTAGGTCCACCACTGCGGCACTGCCGTCCACCTGTGGGAGGGGGAGGGGGGAAAGTCAGGGGTCGGGGTCAGGGGTCAGGGGTCGGCATTTAGGGGTCAGTGGTCGGTGTCCAGTGGTCAGTGGTCGGTGTCCAGTGGTCAGTGGACAGAAGCAGCAGTTACATAGCTGTCGATGAGCAACGTTTATCTCCTGCGTTTTAGCTGTCATTTAATGCATAACAGCAGCATATAAATGTCATCTGCTGCATATCTATCGTTATTGGCATTCGTTATTGAACGAATGTCCACACATGAAGTTTATTGCATATCATCTGTTATTGGCTGTTATCTTTCTCCTGCATACATAAGCGCCATTGGACAAATAGTGTCTCCCAGAAGTCATCTGACGTTTGTCATAATACATACGCCCTCTCAAAGCCTTCACATTCCATCTACCTGTCTCCAGGCAATGACACTGCGATCATGCTTCTACTGCAATGAAAGTAAATAGCACTCATCTTCCGCCCATCAGCTGTCATCTTTCTGTGACGAGCAGACGACAACACCTCTGCGCGTTCAACTTCTCGCCTTCGTTAGCGTAACGCACTTTTAATCCGCCGACTCGACCTAGTCCCAATGACGGCATCAAAGTTTAACAGAGACCCGGTGATCACCGCAAACTTTGTTAGGTAATCAAAACTATCAAGAAGAGATAATTGATGCATCTAATGTCATTACACTAAGTGCGGAAGCCAGTGTCCCCCAGACGGAACAATTTGCGGCAGAATGGGGCTGAGCTCCCCAGGCGTTTCAGCCAATGTTTCTATGAAATGCCAGCATACAGCGTTGCGTCTCTCGTCAGCAAAATATATCCATAAAATGCGGGAATTATTTAATATAAAATAAAAGGAATACGGTTACATTCGATATTTAAGAGAAGCCCTGGTAACCTTGACAATTTCATGTTTTACCGACAATATAACAACTCTTGTCTCTTAAATCCGCCGTCTGAGCGAGCACACATCCTTCTGATGCCTTCGAGTGATCCCTTGCCAAATGCAGACATTTGCTGAAGTGAAGAAATCGCATCCACATTTCCTTCTCAGCAAGAGTCTGTCAATCACCCGTGGAAGATGAGTTTTCTGGATTCATGGCAGAGTGCGCTGCTGCCAGCGCTTGGTGATGGTCCGCTATAGTTTATGCTGAACTGGAAATTAACGACTTGTGATTGGGTCGTTCTCATCCGGCTGGCAGCGAGGCAGTGAACCGACTCGGAGGCAGTGAGGCAGCTGGCTCGGTCGGACGTCAGTGAGGCAGTGCGGGCGGCAGCTCGGCCGACAGTGAGACATGGAGACACTGAGGCAGCGCGGCTGCTCGGCAGTTTTGCCGTCCGCGAGGCAGTCGGACCATCAGGCCGTCAGACAGCCGGGCAGTCGGGGCGGCTCGGAGCGGCCCGGCCGTGCCGAGGGCGCCATCATCATCCGCCCACGGACGCCGCCAGATAGCCATCGTCAAATGGAGCGGCCACAGGCGGATCGGCACTGACGACGGCCAGCGCTCAGGCGCCAGAGCCGCAGCTAACTCACTCAGAAAGGAATCGGACCGATTCGGACCGACTGCCGACGATCTGATTCATCCTCAAATAGAACCGACTTGGCACAGAGCCACATGGGTGACAGACAGCCAGTGGAGGTGTCGCCCTGATCCATCCGGTAAAGTATTTCGTATGTATAGTATCCCTCGCTCCGCTTGAGTCTCTCAGCATCATGTCGGGCTTCCGATAATGGTATCAGGCTGTTAAAAACTCATATTGCCCTGCAAAGTCACGTTATTGCACTACTTATTGTCGTTTATTTATAGCAAGCAGAGCGATTTAATGTCAGCACGACCCCGGACAATATAATATCACTCCCGCCGTGTTGCTATACCATTTTGAAGTGAAGACAATCACTTAAGTGCAGCATGGTCTGTTGCCTACCTCCCTACGAGTATAATGGTTCTTGCTTTATACGATGTTCAATACCAGAATTTCCGCGGTATAACGCCGCAGTTCTCCGTCAAACATCAGATTGGCAGCACAAAAAGCCTTTTGCAGCACAATTCGTCGACCCTAGGGACGACGATGCTCCCGCTTCCTTCCCAAAGGCCGCCGCCATAGTCACATATGCGGTCGCGCCGAGGCAATCTCAATTTGTCGTGTTCTGGCTAGTGGAGGCCGCAGTTCCGGGACATGGGCCGATGCCCAGCCCGCGGGACGGCCGAGAGACTGCGCCCGGGGGACACCCTGTCCGCCAGAAGGATCTGTTCAAAGCCGATCAGAGGCGCGGTCTGCCGCGGAGGCGGCGGCGGCGGCGACCGTCCCCGATAGGCCAGTCGTTATGGACTCTAGTTCTCCGGTTAGAGACCAGGCAAGCCTGCCGCAAAGCCGCGCCAGAAAGGTTAGACCCGATCAGAGGGGCGTAATTCTTCCGTGGTGACAGCCCAACTCGTTACTACATGGTGTAACTACCCGGCAGGGATGGCACTGGGTCGGTTGGGGACATTTCCTACCCGCAGGCCTGGTTTCCCGAACTACACATCGCTTTAGTCACGATGGGGACTGCTTGAGTGGCATTACACAACAACAGCTTGTGACCGTTGAAAGTTGCAACGTAATTAGTGGAAGTAATGCGACCCAACGACCTGACATGCAACCTAATTAGCGAGACTAATTTGCGCAACATCACTTTATCATCTAGCAATGTTCGCTGAATTGCGAATAGTACTAATCACTGATCATACACTTTGCAGCAGCCCGCGAGTTTTTCTTTGATGAACTACTGCGTTTGGCCTTACCTATATGATCGATTCTCGGCTGCCACAATTATTCCTAGAAACGATTTTGGGCATTTCTTTTAGCCAGCTCCGAGGCAGAGCTGGAAAAATCCCATGTTATTCCGCGAACAGCTCAAAATCTGAGGCACGCAGGCCGTTTACCTTAGGACCGTCTCATAGGGGGCCGCCATTTGAATGGAGACATTGCTTAGTTCAAAAATTGCACCCATTTTCCCGCATTGTGCTCATAGGTCATCCATGTCATGAAAGGTTGCGAACGTTTCTCAGTAGGTAATCATTTTTGATACAAGCGAGTGTAAGATCGATGACGAGCCTTGGATATGTATTATTCAAGGTTAAACAATTCAGATCCGAGATCGACTAACAAAAGCAGCAAAATTTATCAAATCAGCCAACTACTAGGCACATAGTTTGCCTTACTTGGATAAAGTTCTGATGCTAACATTTTAAAGCCAGCTCGTATCGTGTGAGCTAACTCACACGAGGTTACCGTTCTGCGCTGAAACGGCATAGTTTCATCTCTGTGCCGGAGACGACACGCACCTTTTTTCTCCACTTGACGCGCGGCTTGGGGTTTCCTGTGGCGTGGCACTCGAGCGTGGCGTTCTGGCCCTGTTCGGCGATCACCAGACCGCTCTCGGGCACGGTGTGCAGAGTCGGACCATCTGCGGCGCAATATACCGGCCCGTTAGACACAGAGGTCACGCCACCACGCCAAAGGTTACGGCACACCGCGCAAATCGGACGTAGCGCACCGTACGGCAGTGCTGCTCACCGCACACACTGCGCTGTCTAAACATAACACACAATACAAGCCATCTATATATACCCGAAATTGCGCTATTTTTTAGTATATTTAAAAATTAGCAGGATGTGTAACTTCTACGTTGCTCTAGGCTCCAGTGAAGAAGCAGTGGAAATTGGAATATTGTATGATACGGAACACATAATGCACTCGTTTACTGCTCTACTGGCTTTATTGTATGCTCATTGTATACGCATAAGATATATTACATGGCTGTGCTCTCACCGCTCATACTGCTCTGACAACATGATCTATCCACATCCCACATCCCTCAATCCAGCCCACAAACGTTCAATCAGCCACCGCCCGTGTTATACGGAGTGGGTAGACTGTGCCGCTTGACACCTCAGTCTAGCGGCACAGTCTACCGGTACCAGGCGGCTGCTGCCAGTGCTGAGCCGCGTTGCTAAGAGAACTTGCGCGGTGGAAAGGGTCCCGGTAAATACATATTTGATTCTATACCTGACTGTAAGGGACACAAAACGTAATCGCATGCTAGGTACTCTACGTAATAACAATTCCTGTCACTGAGCGAGGAATATATCACATGCTACAACACGGTGCCAGGCTCCATACTTACACTGCACGTCGAGTGTCTGCGTCTGCTCCAAATCCCGGTCGTTGAGCGCTACGGTGCACGTATACACGCCGGCATCCGAGGGTGTGGCCCGGCTGATCTGCAGGTTAAATCCGTCCACCAGACGAAGTCGACTCCTCTCCTGCTCCGCAAACACCTGGCTCTTCACGGTCAGAATCTGACGCTGCTTCTTCCACATGACCATTCGTGCTCCTGCCGGAGGAAGCGCACAGAGTCGTCAATTTTTAACATCTGAAGTCCCGTGCTGGAATAGTCCGTCCATCACCACTGCTCGTAGGCTTTGTCACTTCTGAGCTTTTTGAGATCTGGTTCAAGCCTGCGCTCAATGAGGTCACTGATTGATTCTTGTGTCGATGACCCACGGCCAATGATAAATGTTCGCGATAAATGTCTGGTGAGGTTCGTGTTCTGACCCACTGTCGCTAGTCGTGGCCGCTGGGCTCGATTTCAATTATGCTGTGCATGCATTGCACATACAGAATTAACCAACGGGCTGCCGAGACCAGGACCTGCGCAACAAGCTCTGCCGAGCTTGTGTTTTGATCTCGGAAATCCACCCACTCCAACCATTCGAACTGAATTTATTCGCGCTGTCTGAGCACCATCGTTATTGGTTATGAGCTAGTTCCGAGCAGTGGAACAGATGCCGATGCCGATATGGTTCGATTGCTGTCTCATTTACTGTGCTGCTGTGGTGCCGTTACCACCAGCGTAAGAGTGCAGTTGTGAGAACCGGAGGGATGTGTAAGTACCGATCACCTGTTGGAGGGCGGTATTGGAGGGCAGTGTCAGAGGACGGGGTCGGAGGGTCCTATCAGAGGGCCGGGTCGGAGGGTGGGGTCGGAGGGCCGTGTCGGAGGGCCCTATCAGAGGGCCGTGTCGGAGGGCCTCGTCAGAGGGATGTCGGAGAGTGTCGGTCCGTGACCGCGGGACAGACAGCCGGCGGTCGGCTGCTCTCCTGTCGGCTGACATGTAAATGTGAACGGTGACGGCGCCGTCGGACTGACGATCAATAGCGCTCACCCGACCGGGCAACTTATGCCAGCGCGGCGCGGCCGCAGGAGCCGCGCTGCCGAGGTGTGAGAGGAGGCCGGCAGGAATTTTAAACGGATCGTCCCGCAACTGATGGATGGGAACCTTGACGGCCAAGTTACGGCCGGAGAACGGGCCATTAAATCCGGGAGATATATCAATGATACCGTCCATCAATCGGTGACAAGGCTGAGAGGATGCTAGAACAACTCTCCAGACACTTTTTTCTAATTTATGTGTTGTTGTAAATCGTTCAGCAGCTTTCCAACAGACCCATGAAAAACATGGCAGTCCAAGCGTACGTCCTTTCGCTCATTCTTTTTTAAGCTAGTGCGGTCACGGCACGACGGATAGGACGACAAGGAAATATGGGTTCATTCACATCAACGGTCATTTTGGGATTGAGATAATCTAAAATCAACGACCGAGCTGGGAGTAGAAGTCATCTCAACGCATTGAGCTGGTGGACGGAAATATGCAATTTGAGGTCGATTTTCGACGCTCACCTGATATAATCCATGAATGAATGTGTTGCACAGCCATGAATGAATCTCTCTTTTCATGATGAAACGTCTTGTAAATAAATGAAATGCCTGCCTCTCCTTTGGGGTTAATCATTTCAAGCCAATACAAAGGAAAAGAAAACAGTGGCACCTACTCATAAAGTTTATGTACTTGTTATCCCACTGGAGTGTCATTATCAAAAACCATTGCTTCAGAATACGAATATCAACCTTTGTTAGCTCTTTTGAGCCTCTTCAACTACAACAATCTCATAACCATCACTTCAATAACGACCTCGCTGTAATTGGGGCGTGGGCTTACTGATGTGCCCACTTCTTATCTTAATCATTAAGTCTTGCGCTTTCACTTGTATATAATGGGCACGCACTGGGAAGAATAAAGATAGGGCGGACATTCCTCCCGATGTAAAACATCCAGGTTTTCAGCCAAGTATTGGACTTATTTAATTCCATTATATTTGAATGCTCTATTGATCTGTACCATAATTTGCAAACGTGAAATTCCATGATGCTTCGTGGAACCATAAAAGAGTTCGAGCTATAAGGGTGGTTTTACCAACCACTCAAGAGCCAAGAGGCAGCTTTGCCAACTTTTGCACCACTCGAGAATACGAGTAAGCGCATAATCTTACGTCGAACAGGATAGGCGCATAACAGCGCACCGCCCAAGCCGGAAATAAAACATGGTACTACGCACTACGCCGCATTGGCCGGAGTCTTACTACGCTCTTATACATACCGAGCAGCGCCGCATTGGACGGAGACTCACCGAGGTTCCGCACAGCGCAGGGCAGAATCAGAAAGCTTACCTAAATCCTGCTCAGCGCAGGGCAGCACTGTGCTGTTTCCCAGTGCCGCACAGTGTGCTGTCTAGGGAAGCAGACTCACATAAACCTGTACAGCGCAGGGCAGCACTGTGCTGTTTCCTTGTCACACTGTGTGATGTACGGAAACGGAACTTACCGAGATCTTGTACAGCGCAGGGCAGCACTGTGCTGTTACCCTGCCGCACAGTGTGCTGTCTACGGACAGCGACTTACCGAGATCCTGTACAGCGCAGGGCAGCACTGTGCTGTTTCCCTGCCGCACAGTGTGCTGTCTGGAGACAGACTCACCCAAGTCCTGCACAGCGCAGGGCAGCACTGTGCTGTTTCCCTGCCGCACAGTGTGCTGTCCGGAGACAGACAGGAACTGGGGCGGATACAACGTGTCCGGTCGGTCGTACGTCGGGTAGTCGTAACTGTACCCGGTCCGTGACGCCAGACCTGCAACGGATAGAACGCGGCAGGTCAAACAAGGAGCAAGCTAGTGGACAAGACAGGTGGCATGACAGAGCTAAAGAAAAATTACATGACAGTAATCAAGGTAGGTTGCAAGAGAATGGTCAAGACAGGTGGTAATTCTCATACTAATAACGATTTCTATTTTTCTATTTTCACGTTGAGGATACTGTAAAACACCTCACCATTTGGGTCAGGTAATGCTTAGTAGCGATATTTCTTTAAACACGTTATCAGCAGCTATTAGCGATATTCCTTTCAGAAAGTGCGTGGGTTTGGCGTTACAATAGGCAGCGATGAAACACATCACGCTTTTTTATTGGCCTCCTCACCCTCAGGCGAGGGCTGCTAAGGACCTGTGGTGAGGGGGCGAGGGCAGCCGATAGTTGAAACTGCGGGGGCACATTCAGACAGCGTCGGGACGGCGGCGCGCAACGATTATCTGTCATGGGCAGGCACGGATGGAAATGCCCACATCAAGGCCCACATTTTCCTTTGTGGTGAGACTCGCTGAGGCTTATTCAGCGGAGTTATGACACGTGCTACTCGAGATGGCTCAGTTGTGGTGGCGGGCGTCTGAAACTGGCAGTCAGACACTGGGACACATGTCTGCAGTGTGATACTGAGAGTCAGAAAATGCTGGAAGACTACCATCACATAGACCACTATATATCTAGTGGTATATAGTGGTCTACTTTTTATAAATTTAGTCCGAACCTTTTGATAGGAAGGAATCAAAAGGACAGAGCCACCGCTAAGCGAAGCTTGTTTGTTGTGGTGACGCTGCCCTCTACCCGCCGATAATTCCAGTGCTATGGCAGAATTTAGAGTCCGAAGTTTAACGTGCGCACATAGCCGCGCACGGCCGGTCCCCTCACTGACTTCGCCTGGCTACGGCCTGCCACCAACCGCAACCAGGTCTGTCAGGAGGCCCATAAATGTCAAGCGCCCGTCGCGCTTCGAACCCGGACTGTTATAACCGGGAACGCGTGCTCTCATCACGCGGAGTCCAACGCTCTACCAACTGAGCTACGGGACCAGCAATGACTGGCTACGGTCTATGACCCACAACATCGGCTCCCACGCACACTGAGCAAGTGCAGCACCTGCAATGGATTCCAGTCACAAACCGGAAAGCGTTAAGTACCGAGCACCGACCCGGGCACACACTCTAAAAAGGCAGTCACACTACCGCAACCGCGTACACTGGAGGAGTGTAGTCGTCATCACGAGCACTGTACCCCGGCAACACGCACTATATTTACCCCCACCTCCAGGAGCCGGTACGTCCCATTCCCGTGGGGACGTGCTCACACCATCGAGCCCCAGCACGGCCCAGATGTGACCCAGGTCCACGAAAGTGCTCGCGCACCAGGATTGTCCGCATAGCACGAGAGTAACCGAGCGCGACCACCGCGCTGGTAAGGCGATTCTGATTGGATTCGCCTTACTATATAGCCGATGCTTGCATACGATTAGTAGTTGAGCGTAAACCTGCGGACAGTTGCAGAAGCGCCAGATCTGCGTTCCAAATGCAGGTTGGAATCCAGATCGTTAGGCCGAACCGCCCGCCACTAATGAAATAGACCCACCGCTTCTGCACGGTTATTAGTTTAATGCTCCCGAGTCGGCAATATTGGGATTGTGTATCGACGGAAGAGTAAGACAGCGCGCTCGTCGGCGGCGGCGTGTCGGCGTCGACGGGGTCGTGTGTAACAGATGACGTGTCAGTCCGCGGCCGCAGCGGGAAAACTTGCGACCATCCGTTACCGGCGGGAGTGTCACGACGGTCCCCGCACGACGGAGAGCGGCGCCGCGCGCAAACAGTGAGACAGGGTGAGAGAGAATATGCCATCCGGCACGAACGGTACATACAGAGAGAGGTAGATATCACCAGCGCAGCACATACGAGAGGTACGATCGGTGGCGGCGGATTGGGGCCATTTGAACGCGGCTGGATGACCTGTCCACCTAGATATATGTGTCTGTGCTAACAACAGGAGTCCGGATCGGCTACAGAAGCGAACCAGTCGCTGCTTTGATCGATTCACTGTAGCCAATCATACCGTGTTGACAGAATGCCTCAAGATCTTGTGTCGTTCTCAGCTTCGATTTAAATCTGCAAACCACGAAAAGAAAAAAAGCAGGGTTGGGAATGGTGTGCACTGTGAAACCCAGTCGATCAAACAGATCAAACACTCTAGTCTCTATACATGCGTCAGGGTGAGACACACTGTCACCTAACAGCATTGTCATCGCCGAATCACTACTTGACCTCAAGGAGTGAGCGGAAGGGCGAACATTAATTCATGTTTGAACTGCGTTGCCTCAAATGGTTCAAAGTATCATAAAATGTGGTTTCCAGTAAGGGAAGTCTTCTAAACAATCATGGAAGAGCATTTACTATGTAACAAATTACAGCCATGGACCCATACTCGCCGAATGCCCTGGCCCTGTTACCTTCCGCCTATCTCACAAATAGACGGTCATGTATACATTATTCAGTGCTCTAGCTAGAAACATTTTAGGTGTAGTATTGCTCATATGATTGTTGCAATGGTGCTTTCCTCGTAATAAATGGCGCTACTGGGAAATGTGGCCTGGTTCAAAATTCATTTGACATGTGCTGGTAGTGGCCACATTTTTACAAGACCATCACAACAACCGCTTACCCGCAGTAGCTAATGTAGCAGATTCCTATACGATTTTTATAATTATACACAATGCATGGTTGAGGTTTCCATTCTTAAACCATATCGAACGAATAGGATATGGGGAGGAGGGGGGGGGGGGGCGTTCTATCCTACCGGGCTGGGAATGCAAGGAATCTAGTACGTAAGCGGTTGGTTGGTATTTGCGATTTTATATGCTCTATTAGACACAAGCTGCAGCCATTATTATCACTGGTGCTGAGTCTGCTCCTTTCCACCCTTTCAATATTCGGTTAGCGACAGTGAACACCGTCCTAACCGGCAGATCCATGGTTTATGGCGCGAAAAGTCAGCGCCACTAAATTTCACCAGCTGACCGAGATCGTCCACTGAGTCTGGCACGGTAACAAATCGCGTAAAGACCCCTCCCATTGGAAATCGACATCACAAATCAGCCCATTGCTGCAACATGCTCGTGCGTCACATGACATCTCCTATGGATATCTAACGAAGGGTGCTGACGTAACCGTTGGGACCATCCTTCCGAATCTGAATACCTAAACTTGGTTCCAGTAGGACTGCAGAAACATCGTGAACTTTCGATCAAATGCTGCAGCGACTATCGAACTGTGTTTACTTACTTACGGGAAATGATTAACCGATTGATTAACGCAATTGTTTTTGCCAACGACGAAACCCGTTCAAATGTTTTCCTCAATAAACCTTAATGAATAAATCACTCATGTTGTTATGTCCTGTTCAAAACCTTGAATTGAATGATTTCAGACGACAACGACAGCAGCTGCATGAGATTTATTGTGCTTCACCTGGAGCAAATAAAAGAGCAACAACACCAGGAAAGAAATCACATTAAATCCTTTCGGGAAATTTGATCGATAATCTAATAAGTAAATTTCATCAGTGAATAAGTAAAACATAATGCAGAAATAAACGAGTTTTTAACTTAGATTTAATTTCAGTTCGTGTATCCTATCAAATTATATTTTTCTGATATCTATTGACGGTTCTCTCTACCCCTCCTCTCTCTCTCTCTCTCTCTCTCTCTCTCTCTCTCTCTCTCTCTCTCTCTCTCTCTCTCTCTCTCTCTCTGCGCCCTCTGCCTTTCACACATCCTTTCTTAGGAGTCACCGTTGTCTGTGTGGCCTCTCCGGCTGCACAATAGCTGTTCGCTAGCGCAGCTGTCGCTCCAAATCAGCCCATTCAGCGACGACTAATTTGATCTGCGGCTCCGGCGGCTGACATTTCCAGCCGCCTTCGGAAAGCGGTGGTCCGCCCGGCCCGATAACTCCCAACTCCTCTAGGGAGTGGCGAGTGGGAGCGAGTCAGCCCTAACTCGCTCCGTCACCGAGCGCTGCCACTGACTAGCCTCTGATTGCACCTGCTGTCAGCTATGCATATTGCAGAGCCATATGCAGGCCACTTGCATAAGGTATTCCTTGTAAGGAAACTGGGGTTTGCACTTCAACAAATGAAGTTGTGGCAAGCAATGTTGGTCCTTGATACTACATAGTTATCTATGTATTTAGAGCAGTATTTGGGTGCATATGTAACATGGGAATGGCACTGTTGTTCAAGGCAAATGCCACAAGACGCTCGATTGGGCACAAGCGAATATAAAGAGCTTGCTGCAAAATTTTCGTTGACCTTTCTATGCTATTTTTTTAAGACGAAGGGATGCTCAATCCAAAAGATAAAAGAATGGCCCCTACCGTCCCGATGTTGTGTTTGTATATAAGCCCCCCGAAGCCCCCTACTTGGACCGCCTCTGCGACCCCACGGTGCCAGGTGCCTGTGAGCGCCCCTGCCGGCGCCAGCTGACCGTGCGCGTCAAGCGGCGTGACTGGCGCACGAGACGTGGGCTGGCGCTCGCCATACTTGTTATCTTCTTGGACATTCTTTCGGCCTGAACGTATCACAGTAAAATAAATCGCGTTTTCCATTGATTGTGTGCTCTTTCTCTCAAACGAACCGAAACATAACAGTCTGGGGCTTGCAGGGGCGATGATGAGGGGGCTGAGGGGGCTTTGTCGGGCGTAGCGACTGCTCAAAATGCGACCGGTTACTCTGGGAAGTCGGGAAGTTAAGTTAAGATTGGGAAGTCGTTCAAGCACGCAGACCTGCCATACTTTGCGGGCGAGCGTAGGTGACCTCATCAGGACTGAGTATTCATGACATATAATTCGTTTCATTTTCTTAAAATTAAATAGCCAAAAAGAGAAATAAATATTGAAATACCTTCAACCCCGCCCACGCCGCAATGAATGGCGCGCATCTCCCCGTACGGCTGGGCGCTGGATGTAATCAGCGCCCAGCCGTACTTTGCAATTAAAGCCACGGGTATGCCACGGACCTTGAGGAACCCTGAATGGATTTGGGATGAGCGTCGCAGGGCATTGAGTGCTTCTTGATAGACCCAAATGGACGAATTCACCCTGAAAGATTCGATGGGTGAACTTTGCTCATCAATCAACGTTGTTGGACTGACTTCGGGTCGGACATGGCGAAAAAGAATTTCGCTGCCTGCAGAGGTCAGTCTATTCATCTAGGAAACAATTGAATGAAAATGATGGAAAATTAACTTATGGTGGAAGTTCGTGTCAATTCGGAGAAGGGACGCGTCTTCAAAGGAAAGCTTCATCATATTGATTGAACGAAGTAGAATAACAATCTTCAATGCATGCCTGCCTGTCGGTTACATTAGACAATGTATATAATTTCAGTCATCCAGCGGTATATTTCATTTCTGCCTACCTATACACTGCGACTGCGTATTGTGTTTGTTTTAGAAACAGTAAAAGGGTTTAGCAGCCAGCGCTAAATAACACATTTTGAGATCAATGTCACCGCTAGGATAATCGCAATAAAATGATACCTACTTAAAATAAATATTCCATTAATTTCCTGAATTGATGTGCAGCAACACCCGCACACGGCCCAGTTTTAATGCCTCTGGCAGTACTGCTGCAATGTTTCCTGCCGCCCCACGTCAGCACCGCTAACAGTCATCCCAGACGCCGGATATCGGCTGTCGCCGTCGCGTTCGACGCGCTGCGCCGGTCCGTCACCGTCACCGTCGCCCACCTCCGTCTCATGCCAGTATCGGGTTACCGTCCATTGGCCCCATCCCAGCGGCGGACTCGCACGTGTCAGCCTATGGATATCTCTGGATATGTTAGCATATGCCAAGGGCATGCCACTCTATCGCACGTGACGTCGTTAGAGGACTATTCTGTACTGACAGAAATGGCGCATCACTCTTGGGTTACAAAACAGCCCTTTGGAAAAGTTCTACGAAAATGCGTTGGTTTATGAACATAAGGGGCGGTAGAATGCATTATACAAATATATAACAATTACCAATTACCATGCATCAAATATCAGCGAATCTAAACTGCTGCAGAGTTTCTATAAAAGTACCTTTATATTTTGAGCATTGGTGAAAACAAACTTCAGCTGTGATAGATATGCTGTAGATTATCGTGCCAAATATCATACTTAGCGGTGGGAGCTGTCATGTTTTCACTACCTGATAGTCGTGGGCGAGGCTCTTCGTATTTGCTGTATGTCAGCATTAACGACAAAACACTGACAAGTGACACAAATGACGCATTTGGAAAATGTCATCACGCCATCACTTGACGGTAACTTTCTGGTAATTTATTGCTCTCCAGTTCTCCACGCCGCTACAGGAGCTTTGTTCCGTCACTAGGATGTTATTAAGATAGGCCTATGTACTGAATCCGCACCCCATTTTGAAGACAAAACCGTCCGAACTCTCTGGTCCGTCAATGTTGGTATAGCAATCTGATAATATGACACAAAACTACCTTATCCATTTTCAAACGTTTCGACTTTATTCAAAGTCATCTTCAGTGTTCAGAGAGACAAGCACGCAACTACATATGCTGGTATAGCTGCACGGGGTCACTCACCTCTGGGCTGTAGGGCGCTGAGGACAGTGAGAACGACGGCCGCTGACCCCACCACCGCCATGGTGCAGCTGACCTCTCAGGGGAGAGACGGGGTCCTCTATCCGTCTCTACAGCCGTCTAGCACCGAATCTGAAACAGACATGGACGGGAATGTTAGTTTCAACACAGTATAACGTGCGCAAGGGCCAAGGGTTCTTTGAAGCTCAAGTTGCAATCATGGATTACCTGCACCAGGCGCTGGATATCAGACATCTGAGTGCTATCCGCTGTCTGATTCTGTTACTCATTCGGTTACGTATGTGCTTACCTGCAGCTTCAGATTATGGAAGAATGTGTAACGGAGGATACGGATGCAATGGATGTAAATGGCCGCATTTGCTAAGATACTCATAAGTTCTGGACAGAAGGCAAGAGAACTGCTGTTCAAGAGAATACAGTTCACACAAATTATTGCCCGCTTGTCAGAGGTTCCGGAATGCATGGAAAACAACACATCTGAGTAAGCAATCCCATGCCAAGTAAAAATTAGCCTTTATTTCATCAAAGATATGGTATTGAGTGCTCTTGCGAGGAACATATTGTAATAATAACTCAAAATGAATGACCTTTTCCTCGAATATAGAAAGTTTAAATGTCGAAAATGATGTATTTAAGTGAATTTTCGCCCACAGGGCATCATCAGACAAGCAATTGACACAAATTAAACATCAAACATCAAACTGTTTGACGTTTAATTTGTGTCAGTTGCTTGTCTGATGATGCCCTGTGGGCGAAAATTCACTTAAATACATCATTTTCGACATTTAAACTTTCTATATTCGAGGAAAAGGTCATTCATTTTGAGTTATTATTTCATTTCATCAAAGTTAATGTTCCTAAACTAAGTTCGTAGGTAAAAGCAACCCAAACATGCATGCCCATTGTCCGACTTCTCATCTAAATTAGCCTTAGAAAACAAAGGTGAGCCTACAATAGAGCTCACTGCCATGGGTGGAGAACCTGCCCCGGCCACCCCGGCCGTGGCCGGGGTAACTTTCAGCCGACCCCGGCGTGGCCGGGGTAACTTTTTCCACTTCTGTAAATCCTAAAAATGTCTCCATACGAAAAAATGCCATCTATAAAAGCGTCTCTCATTATTGTTATCTACCTTGAAAAGTTCTTGAAAATTTACTTTATTTTCATTTTGGAGCTTCTATGTTTTTAAGTCTTTTCATCGCGGAGCCCGACATGTTTCATCAAACAGAAGTAAATCATTTTTAAGGGCCGTTGTCGTAAGATGGCACTGTAATAACATCACAAGACAGGACGAGGGTACCTAATATCAGTGAGATAGAAGGATGAGCTGCTGGGGCTCAAGGCTCCCCCAACTTAACCCGCGCCAGGGTGGTGGCCTTATCGTAACACGTTGAGTCGAGAGGTGGTCTTTTCACGCTCCTTCTAACTCGGCTCCTGGGCTACGAGGCGAGAAGCGGAACGACGTTTGAAAGAGCGACAAACGTGATCAGAGAAATCTGGGCCTCGTTTCATAAAGCGAGTCCGTAACTTACGCGGGTTTTTGGTCTTGTATTGCAAGTGCATGTGAAGCGATGACGATAGTTTGAATCGATGAATTTATTTATCTTGCAAGCAAGAACAGAAGAGAGAAGGGAAAATAAATTTATCGCTTCACGTGCGCTTGCAATACAAGCCCAAAAACCGGCGTAAGTTACGGACTCGCTTTATGAAACGAGGCCCTGGTCATGTTTTAGGCAAGCTCAATAATAAAATCACCATAGATCATCAAAAGCCAAATTTCTCTGATTTTAGCGTTCTCCGACAACTTTTCTCACAGTTCATGAGCATAACGGAGCTTAAACACTGCAAACAAAACATTCGATTACTCGTTTAAGGCTCGGTCGCGAATAATATTTCAGGTGCGAGCTCAAATCAATAAGAGGGTCAAAACGGTCAAATTTGACATTTTGTTTTGTGTGGGAAGGTTGCAACTTCCACGGAATAAGCTTTGCAAAGGGCATGATGGCATTTTTAGCACGATCATCCATCAAATTTGACCTGATGACCTGACCTAGCACTGGGTGACATGCGTCCGAAATTTTAAGGCGTGTTGCAAAATTGTTGTTACAATTACGAAATCTTCCGCACCTGCGTGCAGCAGTTTTCCCTAAAAACGTAGGTACAAACGGCAGACAGACATCCATTATTCTATGCCACAGAATAGGGTTTTTTTGATAACCGTTGACAAATATTTGAGCATCATCGTCTTTCTGACTTTCGGTCGCCGGCCGGGGTAACTTTTTCAAACATTCTCCACCCGTGGGCCCAGTTCCCAGCAACAAAGTCTCCTCGCGGGCTGTTCGCCAGTCGAATTCGCTCCGGCTAGCTCATTGTGCTTTGTGAAGTCCCGCAGCTCAACGTTTCAGCTCTCCAGCATACGACATTCCGCAATAAATACACGTCACCCCGTAATGCAATACGCTTGTACTAGGACGCTACGTTATTCGTACCCACTTCAGATGTAGCTCGTGACCGCAAAGGCGATATACACGATAACATATGAGGCAATTCTGTGACCATTTCTTTATATGTAATGCTTTTTATATTTTCACCCAATATAGGTACGTGACGCATATGCTTGTTGATGTGATTGGTAGATTGCAAGGAAATTCTGTCCCGCTGTTAGGATCACATTAGTGTCGTGCTCACTACAAAACCGTTCTAAAAGTCACACTTTGAGAGGGTCGCATGGCGTTATGTATAAGCATTATGCGATATGCACAATACCATTGCGTAGCACTTGGAAGGGTGATCATAAGCCTAATCGTATGCTATACCTTTTGATTGATTTTCATTTTGCTAAAAATACATTTATCTGTAGAGTATTAACATTTTGTCATTCAATATCCCCGTGTAATATGGACTTTGGAATAATTTGATAAGTACTTGAAAAAAGTATTTGCATTGCCATTACGAAAAGGCAACTTAGGTTTTCAACATGGCGCAGGGCTGAACAGGTGGACAGTCACAAGCTCTCCGAGGATTTCGGGAACCGGCCAAGTTTTGACAAGTTCTCTGGGGCGATCAGTGCCGACCCGCGGACGCGGCGGGTGGTTTGGTCTCGAGCACAGAGCTGTCCCAGACTTCGGTCGAACGCGGCTCTCGAGCGTGAGCAAAGTTGTAAGGCGCAGTTCGTCTGTGGCGATTTCACAGATAAGTTTGATTTACGGCGCGGATATTTCTGTCTGGAGACGAATGTGGAGCTTGATAGTGGTTGGGGACGTTGACATTGGCGGGATGGGCTCCTCTTATGGCCAATCTGCTACACTATTTGTATTGTATCTCTAGCTGAAATCTCCTCTGTGGACGACCCTACCAAGCACAAGTAAAAGGATTGCGAACAAGACTCTGCGCCGACGCGACACGAGCAGAGCAGTGTTCACTTATCCACACTCAACTCTACATCCACATGTCAGGTCAGCAGAAATCAAGACCAGCCAGAAATAATATTATACTGAACTTCGAAGTTCGATCGGTGACACTTTGTAAGGTGCGCAAGTTTTCTTTTATACCTTTGGCACAAGGCAAAAGTAGTCCACTGATGAAAGCGCCGGCTGATCTGTCAAGTTCGACGAATGAAAGGAGCACATTTTACATTATATTCCTAAGACACTAGGCTATCAAATGATTTTTGTAAAGTGGTCTTGAAGGAAAAAGAAAACGCCTGATCCTGTTATATAACATCGTTATAGCGTTGTACCGTGGAACGCCTGATTAAAGCGTCCTGCAAGCCTTAGTGCGTCAGTTCGAGAGAAGTTTGCGTTTGTGCCAGTCACTCAAGATTTTTTTTTCACGGCATTCTTGCATCTTTGTTGGAGACATTTGCATTGAGTTTTGACTGGAACTTGCCTAGTAATTTCAAAAGCTCCAGTCAGCATTTCCATACACGATTCCTCGGCTGTGGTAACGACCATCCATCCCCTGAAGGCGCGAGAAGTCGTCGGTCGTGACGATGTCGAGCGTCGATAAATCTGCGAGACCGTGATTGGAGTACGGACCGAGCCACCGACACCGGCTGGGTTGCAGGCTCTGACAGCAGGCGCTACTGATTGGCGTATCGTGCTGCCTAACTTTATAGATCTGTATGTAAGACAGGCACGCATCTGGCGAAAGACACCCGTTCAGCTCTCTCTGCAGGTGAGCGTCGATGACCTCCGCCATCCTATAGCGTTCTTCTTAACCGACACTACCCCAAACTGTTAAAATATTCTTATGAATGGATAAAGGCATAACGGATACATACCTAGAAGCTTTAATGAGTTCACGACCCCGGCTGGGTTCTACAGTGGTCGTTCGCGGCGGAACCCGCAGGTCGAGTGGTGCCAACCGTGGGCTGATGGCTCAGATGGGCGACAAAGGCCGTTTTAGTTACAGTCCGTCTAGTTCAAGGGAGATTGAAGCGCTGTATTCTGTTGTTTCGGCTCAAAGAGGACGTGGCTCTGTCCGCTGTATCGTCCGCTGCAAGGCCCTACCGCTGTATGTCCAGGTCAGGCCTCCTGTACATAGTTGGTTTATTTCATAGGAGACAGGATCTGTCTGGCGGCCATCCGCTTAGGTCTCAACGATGCAAACGCAGCAGAAAGTCTACACCGATGCTGGGCCCATCCTGACTGACCTCGGCCGGTCCTATCTATCAGCGCACCTAAGACTTGCCTATCAGCCAGTTCCGGCTGCCAAGGCACAAACTTTTATAGCTCGTCGCGCACGTGTAACTACGTCGGCTCTATAATGGCTTCAGTCTATATTTACCGCGTCCTTCGGTACCGCGAATATCTTTGTGCATGTAATATGCATTTGCCCACACATGCATGGGCATTCTATGTTCGCTGTGTGCGGACTCCGTCGCCTCCTTCCGCTGGCTCGGCGTCGGAGAGCCGGGTAATCACGGGCCCGAATAGAGTGATGTCTGTTTCCGCAGCATTACGACCGATCGGATGAACGCCGATACTGTTTGTCCATCACAGCGCAAATAACGTCTCGTGGCCGCACAGTATTCCTGTGGGGTCGATGCGGCCGCTGGGCTGATAGATAGCTGCGCCGGATAGCGTTTCGGCTGGATCTCGCAGAATGGGCCTTAGATGTAAATGTTGTATGCAGGTATCCATTGCCTGTGGGCAAAGCTAAGCATTGAGCCTCGGCTTTGGCCGTCTTTGGAGCTCCGTATTCATCTAGAACTCCTAAGCTCCGTTGATTCTACAAAGTCGTTAAACGCCAAATGCTATCCAATCTCGAAGTTGCCCATGGGGTTGGTTTTAATTAGGAGCGATGCCGCTTCTGACCTCATGCAGTCAGTGACCTTTCGTAAAATGGTTGTGGGGATATAGTCCATGTAAGGCACCAGCCGACTTGATACACCACTTCAGGCAGAATACCTCGTATGCAGAGCAACTTGGCCAGCAAAGTTCACTGCCTTCGCTCAGTTAGGGAACGTATAAGCCAAAGACCACCAACAGTGGGGTATATTCGCAGAAACATCTCACCAAAACATCTCACCAACCGTATGGTCATGGTATGACATTTAACGCTAAGAGGAGCATCGGGAGAAAGCAACTTTCCCCACTATAGTTCTGCCAGATAGTTTAGTTTTTTCCCATCAGGGACCACTGGTGATAAAATATAATATGCCCTGTCTTTGTAAGCATGGATTTACAATTCTTTTCAGAGGCCTCACGACTTTACGACGCTTTGAAATCCGCAATAGGTACTTGGGTTTGAGAAATGTGATGTGGACTCCAACTATCAAACAAGGCTAGGGTAGAAAATGTAAGACAGCTATTGCTGATGTATCGCTAACCATTTAAAACTGTAAATACCTATCGTAGGGTAAGCAAAATGCCCTAGACTTTTATATTGAACCAATGCAGTCCATTTTTTAGCTTCCTCTATAAGTGGCTTATGGTGGCATTTTCCAAAGTTGCTACAATTATAGCTGGTTTAGATTTTATGCTGATCTACTGACCGTCTTCATAAAAACGAACACATCCTGTATGTTTATCTCCTTGTATCCAGCAGCGATGCATGGGCATACATTTTGATATCGTGTCTTTCTGTACAGAACCCCTGGCGAGCCACGATTTATACCTAACCGCTATGCATAATCGATAAGGGACCGCTGTTAGAAATATACCAAGCGCATGACATTCCTTAAACAGTAAAATGATACACATTATTTATACACCGTTCCAAGGGAGCTATTGTGAAATGAAGGCTAGCTTAAAAGCACAAAGAAGTTGTTAATGTGTTATACTTCAAATTCGTATTGCAATCGAACTAAATAACGTTGATATAAACAATGACTCTGTTGCTGATTAGTCAGGGCTTTGACTGAAGCGCCACACACACACACACACACACACACACACACACACACACACACACACACACACACACACACACACACACACACACACAAAACAACAACAACCGACAAATTTTGAACAGTTTTTAGCCCGGCGTACGTGAATAACTGTGCATTTTAATTACATTATACATAACTGATGTCGTCTTAAGCGTCATCCTTCTTCAACGGCAAAGGCTGAGCCGAGAGGGTACCACTCATGTTGATATGAAGACGGTCTGAACGTGTCCTGCTGGCCGATCGAATGGTCAGCACTCAAACAGACAGGGGCTCCGCCACAGGGGGGTACGCGGGGGTCCGGACCCCCTCAATAATTTACCTGGGGGTACAGTACCCCCCAATATTCCGAATACTTAAAGGGACAGTATCATCGAAAAAAAAAATTAATGTATGGAGCTGATTTTTTTTACTAGCATTTCTTATTTTCCTGAATCAGAAAAACATAGTTTGAGGACCGAACTCGGTGAAAAATATTGCAACCACATTTCATTTTCATGATTCATTTTCATGAGCGAACCACCACTATACAAGCATGGCCGCCATTTTGGAAGCATGCAAAATTACTACAGAACTGGCGCAGATAATACATTATTGACGCTACGCTTACGCGGTCGTTCTTCTGATTGAGTTGTCCTTAGGGAGAGGTAGCCTTAGGCATTGCCTATAAAAATATCACGTGGCAATTGGAGGGAGTGACAATTGGACGTGACAATTGACAATGGGAGAAAATATCACGTGACAATCACGTGATAAACGTCATACATTGGAGGGAGATTGTGATTCAAGCTGGAGGAATTCCTTTGTTGAGCCGCTAGAATCCGAAGGAAACAGCAGAAATTGCCTACGACTATTTAATGAATTTAACGGTGATGAATAAGTGCGAAAAACGTTTTGGCTTTATAAAATTTGACGAAATGACCAGGGTAAAAGTTTTATTACTGGCGGTCAATTCAAAACGGCGCAAACATTTAAACAGTGAAGATAGTGAAGCACGATTCAAAGTGTAGTACACCTTTCGTACTTTGAGCGGCGATAGCGGGATAACGGTGTGGAGCTTCGAGGATCGGTCTTCAGTTCCCGGACCAGAAAGATGGGGCCTATGCAATGTCAAATTTCATCAAAATGGTGATACTGTCCCTTTAAAGGAAATAGTTCACTTTCACGAAATTATTTTTTTGCAATGGATTTATGATTTTTTATGTTCAAAATGATCAGCAAAGAAAATAAAACCTATTTATAACAAAAGATTATTTTCTATATTTTGATATAAGAAGAACTTTTCAGTTTCTGTAAGGCACAGGCGATCCAGTATGAAAAGAGCATGGGTTCCGAAAATTCTTCAGAAACTAGAGAAATTATCGCGGCCACCGGCATTTGGGCGATCTGCTGCTGCTGAATGTCCTTGTAGGCGCTGTTTTTGATGAGCTCCTGCTAGTAACTTTAGGTTACCGGAACGCCTACGAGATGGCGGTGTTGTTTCGGTATTTGAATAGCGCTATCGATTTATCGATGTTTATTTTCTGCTTGGGTGCTTTGTGTCATTTGGTTTAATTTTTGTATCGGTTTATAAATTAATTTTGTATTGTGTTTCGCTGTTATTTGTTGTTAGCATTTTAGTTTTAAGTGCTAACTTTCACGGTCACGTGACCGGCGCCCCGCCTACCCGCCACGTCGGCTTCCGGGTCGGCGGAGGGGCGGTCGTAGAAGGAGGGATTTGAGACATTCTTGGTCTTTCGGTGACGGCGGCGGGAGTCATGCCGATTTGGGTTTTTGGTCACCATGGTTACTCTAGCCGTACGACTTTGAGGGCGCACCGTGTAGGTGAGTGACATGTACTTTAAAGTGTTTGGTATTTGGCAAATGGCGAATGCTGATTTGGTACATGCTGATTATTTTAGGTATATTTTCTTTTGCTGCGTCTGTGTATTTGTTTGCTTGGTGCACGGTCATACGGTCATATATTAAGTTTCTGTTTATTTCGTTTTCAGAAACCGCTTGCTTCACTATGTTTTGCAATATAAATTCATCTGTGGAGCTATAGCGCGTTTACCTGCCGGTTAGCGCAAGATCCAGAGGCCCTAGACAGCGGTCGGCGGTTATAGTTTCTACACGCGCCAGTTCTACCCGTGGCTTCTGCGCTGGCTGGTCTCCGGCTGCGCGGCGCGACTTTCTGCTCGCGCTGGCCGCGCTGGCTGGGCGCTGTCCTGCGGACGCGTGCGGATTCTGCAGTCTGCATTGTCTACAGTCTGCAGGATCTACTGGCTGGCTTCAGCCTGCAACTCGGCGCGTGTGGGCTGCTGATTGCTGAGCCTCAGCAGTCTGCGCGTTTCAACATGCTGAGTGTCTGCGAGCAAACTTGTGCGCAGAGTCGGTAAGTGATCTGGGTCCCTGATCTGCAGGTCTCATTTGGTTTGGCGCCTTGGGTTTTGGCTTGGCGAGGTAACTCACCTTGTGGGTTTGGACTTGTGAGTGGGTACCTACTGCTCGTGGGCAGTTGACCTTGAACTTGGAGGACTTGGACTTGAGCCAACTCACTCTTCCTGTTTGGACGAGGGTGTTTTTTGGCTTGGCGCTCACTGCTCAGTGAGCCCATGTCTGTGTGCTGACGTTGGTGATCCTGATGGTCAGCAAAGCTTTGAATCAGTGAATGAGTTTGGTTCTTGGTAAGCAATTGATGGTTCGTCAGTTGCAGGCATCACTGTTGGTTGTGAAGTAGTCTTGGTGAAAATTTGGTTTGGTGGACTCTAGTGTTTGAGCCATTTCTGGGAAAGCTGCGAAACAGATGGCTTCAGGGAGCTTCATCCAGGGGCTTTGGGGCATCTGAACATAGTTTGGGGCTTCGGTGCATTGTGTTGTTGTAAAGTGTATTGTATGTGTATGTATTGTGTGTTGTAAGTGCTACTGTGTACTGTTAGCGTAGATGTTTGACTATTAAGTTAGGTGGTTAAGATGGCACCAACCAGGGAGGACCTTGCTAAGTTAAAGTTATCTGAGTTGGTGGATGAGCTGAGCTCTAGAGGCTTAGAGACGTCTGGTAAAAAGGCCGAGTTAGTAGATAGGTTGTGGGAAGCTGTCAGATCTGCTGATCCCAGACATGTTGGTACTGAGCAGAGCAAGGTGCTTGTGAAGGGTGATGTAACTCAGGAGCAGGTCGGAATGGCAGCACAAGCAGATGTTACTGTAGATTCTGGGGCAGGCTCGGAGACGTCTCAGTCACTTATTGCTAAGTTAAGGGCACTGAAGGAGATAGAGCAGTTGGAGGAGCAGGAGCTTAGAATTAAGATGAGAAGGCAGCAGCTGGATATAGAGCTTAAGCTTGCTGAGCTGCCCAGAGAGCAGGTGAGTCAAGAGCTGGTCGATTCACTGCGGATCCCCGTAGGGCCTTCTGAGGGTCAGGGTCAGTCAGCAGGCTCACATGAGTCCTCCCTACTCGGGTCTCAGATGCAGAGAATGTTGCTGCCCCCCACAGAGATCGAGAAGTTTGATGGCAACGTCATGAAATATAAACTGTTTATCAGGTCTTTTGAAGCCAGGATCGCTTCACGTACCACTGATGAGGATGAGCTTCTCCACTATCTTGAGCAGCTCACTGTAGGAAAGCCTAAGCAGATTGTGAGGAGCTGCATGTATTTGAGGGATGTAGGGTATGCAGAGGCTCGTCGGCTGCTGGATGAAAGGTATGGTAGCTCTCACAAGGTGGTAGATGCGTACATCCAAAGACTCAACAACTGGAGTAGGATTTCCCCAGGAGATGTAGAGGAACTTGACAGGTTCACCCTGTACCTGATCGAGATAAAGCATGCCATGACGGACTTGGACATTGTTGGAGAACTGGAGCATCCACGCACACTGAGGGAGGTGGTGGATAAGCTACCAGCCTACCTGAAGGACAGGTGGATGAGGGTAAGTGATGAGATCATGGAGGAAAATGGGAGGATGGTTCGCTTCAAGGACTTAGTAGACTTCCTTTCCAAGGAAGTACGGGTCAAGAGAAACCCAGTATTTGGGGCTCCGATAGGGGACAGACAGGTGCCACAGAGATCTAAGACACAGCCCAACTTGGGTCGCACACAGGCACAGTGTAGTGCAACAGCTGTAAAGCAAAATAGGGAAAAATGTCTGTTCTGTCAGGGTGACCATTTTTTGGATGACTGTCAGGAGTTGAGATACAGAGCTCTTGAGGAAAGGAAGCAGTTCATTCAGGCGCAGAGGCTGTGTTTTGGGTGTCTGCGAGGGGGTCACGTGGCTAAGTTCTGTAGGAGGCGTAGGAAGTGTGGTATCTGTGGCAATCTCCATGCTACTCTCCTTCACAGACAGAGTGAAGCTCCCAAGAGTGAGCAGACAGAATCCAGTCCTGTGACCACCCCAGTACGGGTCAGCAGTGGAGGGGTGACCTCCGATTCTGGACAGAGGTCAGGTACGATGATGCCCGTGATACCGGTAAGAGTCGTGTCACCCACAGGAGAGGTCTTGCATACATATGCCTTCTGCGACAGTGGTAGCTCAGGGACGTTTATGAGCGAAGGTCTGGCAGAGCGGCTTGGCAGTCCTTGTAAATCTACTACCATTTCTGTAGACACAGTGTGTGGACCAGGGAACGAGATTTCCACTTCGGTGATTGAGAACATCAGAGTTGGTCCTCTGGAAGGGAAGCGTTTGTTCTCACTGCCGCCAGTGTTCACTATTGGCCGTATTCCCGTTTCCAGTGATGACGTGTGTGACAGAGCGGAACTGAGGAGGTGGCCGCATCTGTCCGGTGTGACTCTGAGCGAGATTGATGTTGAACCGTGTGAAGTAGGTCTGCTGATTGGGGCGAATTGTCCGCAGCTACTGACGCCGGAGGAGGTGAGGAGGCCTGAGGGCGAGGGACCGTGCGCGGTGCGCACGTGCTTGGGCTGGTACGTCATCGGAGTCTCCAGTCGGTCCTCCAGGAGGTCTCTGAGCCGGCACTCCGTGAACAGGATCGCGGTGTCACGCTCGAACACGCACGGTAAGATACCTGAGCTTGATTTGTTTCATCAGTTGTACGACCAAGACTTCAAGGATGTGTCAGATGATACTGAGGGTTTGTCGGTAGAGGACAAGGAGTGGTTGACTATGGTTAGGTCAAACATGAGGAAGGATGAATCCGGGCACTTTGAGATTGGGCTCCCTCTTCGCGATATTGGTGACTTACCAGACAGTTATTTTGCTGCGAGGAGGCGTCTGGAGTGCCTGAGACGGCGTCTGTCTCACGATAGCAGTCTCCGTGATGAATATGTCGCAGTAGTTCAGAGGCTGTTCGACGAAGGGTACGCAGAGAGGGTCCCGGACTCAGAGGGTGAGACCGAGGATCGGACTTGGTACTTGCCCCATCACGGCGTAAGGCATCCGGAAAAGCGGAAGCTAAGAGTAGTTTTCGATTGCTCTGCAAAGACTGACAACGTCTGCCTGAACGATCTGCTCATCAAGGGTCCAAACTTGACTAACACTCTTGTTGGAGTGCTGCTGCGCTTTCGCGAGAATCCAGTGGCATTCACGTGTGACGTGGAATCCATGTTCCACAGGGTTCGAGTGCCGGCAGCGGACGCTAACATGCTCCGCTTCCTGTGGTTCAAAGACAACGATGTCGGCGCTGAGGCGGTGGTCTGCCGAATGAGGTCGCACATTTTCGGCGCGGTGTCGTCCCCGAGCGTTGCCAGTTTCGCCCTGCGGCAGTGTGCCGAGGAAGGTAGGGACAGGTATCCGGAGGCATCTAGAATCGTCGATGAAAATGTCTATGTAGATGATGCTCTGGTGTCTGCGTCGTCGGTAGACTCGGCGATCCACTTGGCTTGTGACTTGAAGCAGCTGTGCAGTGAGGGCAGATTTAACATGTGTAAGTTCGCTAGTCACAGCGCTGCGTTCCTGCAAAGCATCCCACGTGAGGACAGGGGCGCAAACGTTAAGGATTTGGACCTCCAAGTAGAAGGGCTTAAGCAGCCAGAGAGAGCGCTAGGCATGCGCTGGTCTGTGACTGACGACACCTTTCGTTTTCTTTTCGTTGACAGAGAGAAACCGGCGACCAGGAGGGGCATCCTGTCGACCGTCAGTGCTTTGTTCGACCCCTTAGGAATAGTTGGTCCTGTCACTCTGAGGGGCAAGCTTTTGGTGCAGAGGTTGTGTACTATGTCCTGTGGATGGGATGACGTCATCCCATCACCCTTGGCTGAGGAGTGGTCTGCGTGGTTGGAGCAGGCGAACCGTCTTGACATGGTCTCTTTGAACAGGAGCATCCAGACAGCTGATGGCGAGGTTGTCAGTCGTCAGCTGCATGTCTTCTCAGACGCCAGTGAGGTTGGCCATTCAGCGGTGGCGTTTCTTCGAGCAGAGACGCGTGCAGAGGACGGCAGCAGTACGAGTACCGTCCGCTTCCTGATGGGTAAGGCCTTGGTAAATCCAGTTCGTTTTGTGACCATCCCTCGATTGGAGTTGGCAGCTGCAGTGGTCGCAGTAAGGTTGAAGCAGTTGCTGGAGAGGGAGACTGGTTTGGAGTTCGACAGAACTTTCCTGTGGACGGACAGCATGGTCGTACTCCAGTACATTCGCAACAGATCGTCGCGGTACAAAACGTTCGTGGCGAACAGAGTAGAGATCATTCACGGTAAGTCTGACGAGCAGGACTGGAGATACGTACCGTCAGCTGCCAACCCGGCGGATGTTGGCTCGCGTGGATCTGCGCCGGAGGACTTGGGGACGTGGTTGAAGGGGCCGGACTTTCTTTCAGCGGATGAGGAGAGCTGGCCGTGTGAGCCGGTTCGGTTAGATGATTCTGAAGACCCGGAGGTTAAGCATCCCTCACCTGTCGTGACTGTTGTTGCAGCGGTCGCTGAGGTTCCTGAGTCGTCTGCAGTGTCGGGTCGCGAGCAGCCGTCCGCGACTGAGAGGCTGCTCAGTTACTTCTCGTCCTGGTGCCGACTGAGGAAGGCCGTGGCCTGGTATAGGCGCTTTTCTGATTTCCTCAGGAGCAGGCTGCGCGATCGAGCAGGCAGGCGTCTGCGCGATCGAGGAGTGGGAGTAAGGACGTCTCTGAGTGTAGATGATTTGAGGTCGGCTGAGAACTCCATCCTTAAATACGTTCAGAAGACGAGCTTCTCTGAGTTTTCTGATGACCGTGAAGGGACGGTGAAAGTGACCAAGTCGAGCTCCCTCAAGGGGTTGAGCTTGACTCGGAGGGATGGCATCTTAGTGGTAGGGGGTAGGCTAAGTCGCTGTCCTGTACAGAGCGATAGCAAGTATCCTGTGCTCATGCCCAGACATCACCATGTGACCCGCCTAGTGATTCGTGACGCTCACGAAAGGGTAGGTCATCAGGGTCGTGAACATACTCTGAGCAAGATTAGGGAGAGGTTTTGGATCTTGGGTGTTGGATCGCTGGTTAGGAGTCTAGTTCGATCCTGTGTGACCTGTAGAAAGGTGAGTGCGGTCCCACAGAGGCAGATGATGTCTGACCTGCCGGACGACAGGGTGACGCCGGATACTCCTGCGTTTGCGTTCGTTGGCTTAGACGTTTTTGGGCCAGTGCTAGTTAAGAGAGGCCGTTCTGAAGTGAAACGCTATGGTCTGATGTGTACATGTCTAGTAACTCGTGCAGTGCACGTGGAGGTGCTGCAGTCACTGGAATCGGACTCTCTGATAAACGCTATACGTCGGATTATTGCGCGTCGGGGTCCGATCAGTAGGATTAGGAGCGATTTGGGTACAAACATGGTGGGTGCTGACAACGAGCTCAAGGCTGAGCTCGCTAGACTGGACGTTAGTAGGCTCGAGCAGTTCGCCTTGGGGAAAGGGATTGAGTGGGTGTTTAACCCTCCGTCTGCCTCACACTTTGGTGGATGTTGGGAGCGCTGCATCAGGACATTCAGAAAGGTTTGGAGGTCGATGCCCACCCAGAGACTCGATGACGAAGGTCTACACACTTTGTTCTGTGAGGTCGAGTCGGTTTTAAACAGTAGACCCTTGACATTTGTCTCTGCTGACAATGGTGAGGTAGAGCCCCTTACGCCCAACCACTTGCTGCTGCTGCGTGGCAGTGGTGAGGGGATCCAGGGGAGTTTTCCCACGACCAGCTCTCGACCAAGCAGTGGAGGAGAGTACAGTACTTGTCTGAGCAGTTTTGGCTCCGATGGCGGAGCGAGTATTTGCCTACACTGCTGCGTCGCCAAAAGTGGACGACAAGGTCTCGTAACGTAAAACAGGGAGATATAGTTTTGTTGGTAGCAGACGACGCGCCAAGAGGTCAGTGGCGCCTTGGCAGGGTGACTCAGACCTTTCCGAGCCAGGATGGGTTAGTAAGAAAGGTTTCAGTTAGGACGGGTGGCACGATACTCGTGAGACCCGTGCACAAGCTGATACTTGTGCTGCCTGATTCTGACCTTGACCTGGGCTAGATGGACGATTAGTGTTTGGAGCGCATGTTTAGGACATGTGATGTATATAGGTGTGTATGTGTGTGTGCCCTGTTTGTTCGGTGTCCTCAACCCTGCGGGTTGAGCGGGGGGAGTGTAGGCGCTGTTTTTGATGAGCTCCTGCTAGTAACTTTAGGTTACCGGAACGCCTACGAGATGGCGGTGTTGTTTCGGTATTTGAATAGCGCTATCGATTTATCGATGTTTATTTTCTGCTTGGGTGCTTTGTGTCATTTGGTTTAATTTTTGTATCGGTTTATAAATTAATTTTGTATTGTGTTTCGCTGTTATTTGTTGTTAGCATTTTAGTTTTAAGTGCTAACTTTCACGGTCACGTGACCGGCGCCCCGCCTACCCGCCACGTCGGCTTCCGGGTCGGCGGAGGGGCGGTCGTAGAAGGAGGGATTTGAGACATTCTTGGTCTTTCGGTGACGGCGGCGGGAGTCATGCCGATTTGGGTTTTTGGTCACCATGGTTACTCTAGCCGTACGACTTTGAGGGCTTTGAGGGCGCACCGTGTAGGTGAGTGACATGTACTTTAAAGTGTTTGGTATTTGGCAAATGGCGAATGCTGATTTGGTACATGCTGATTATTTTAGGTATATTTTCTTTTGCTGCGTCTGTGTATTTGTTTGCTTGGTGCACGGTCATACGGTCATATATTAAGTTTCTGTTTATTTCGTTTTCAGAAACCGCTTGCTTCACTATGTTTTGCAATATAAATTCATCTGTGGAGCTATAGCGCGTTTACCTGCCGGTTAGCGCAAGATCCAGAGGCCCTAGACAGCGGTCGGCGGTTATAGTCCTTATTGATCAGTACGAGAATTTCTCTAGAGTTCTCGTAGATAATTTCTCTAGTTTCTGAAGAATTTTCGGTACCCATGCTCTTTTCATACTGGATGCAAATATATGCAAGGCACACATCCTCAACGCAAGACACCTTTTTCGGGACGAGAAATAGAATATCTTTGCCTAGGGTGATCGTTGGGCTGTAAAAGCTCCTGATTTATGCTCGTCTCAGCCCAGGCTACGGAACTGCTATTCCAGTTCAAAACCCATGTTAAAAAGTGAACTATTTCCTTTAAAAGCTTGTTTTCGCGTAAGAATGACTAAATCATTCACAGAATGTGTTGAATAAATTAGAATGTGTTGACAGTCGCAAGGCTAAGGAATTGAAGATCTAGAAATAATGTGACACACACACGAACTGCTCAACACTCGCCGACCTATATGTACGGGAGTGTCATTATTCTACCATTTTCTTATTACTCTGAATGCGTTTAAGATTGCTTGGATTAGCTAAGCATGCTAGGATTGGGCTATAATTTCGTGAGAGCGGTCCAGTTTGCAGGACACCTCCTATACACATGAATACCCGCCCCAAAAGAGCTTCAAATCGATCTGAGAATCCTCTTGCCATGCGAGGTCACCCGATAGTGCTGGGGGGGGGGGGGGCGGGGTCCAAACCGGTCTTTCGAGCACCATACTAGTCTAAGTAGCCTCACACCGTTCTGAGGTAATCTGCAATAATCTGCTCAGGGTTCTGAATGCAGGTTGGTAGAGATAGGACATCTACAAGTCACAACTCTTACAGGATCCCCATAACCTGACCTTTGTTTCAAGTGCAGCATTTTGATATCCATTTTCAGGTCAAGCTAGGTCACACTCTAATCACAGAGACTGAATGGCAGTCTCTAAGGACCCTATACTGCTATATGAGGGCAGGGTTTTCAAATCCCTACAACGACTCCTAAATCCCTGCGTTTTCCTTTAACTACTTCCTTGGAGGACCCGACACCGGTCTAAGAGCCTACATCTGAGAGCCTAATGCGCTGTCTGATGGCTAACACCGCCCTTGGAGCGCGCAACAGCAGCCTCCATTCCTAGGGAACGTTGATTTGAGAGGCCACCATGTCGGTGTCATCAATGGGCTCCGCTTCTCGGTTTTCGATTCCTTGTGCAAACTGGACCTTGGTTTTTGGGTTTGAAGCAAAATTTTCCCGATAACATTGTTAAGTTTTCTTTGAACTCTAGAAAAAACGGAAATTTACTATCGATTTCTGGAGCTGCGGGAGGGGGTGGGGGGGAGGGAGGGGGGGTGAAATCGCCCAAAATGCGCACCCTGGAACCACGAGCGAGGTTTTGTATTTTGGGTCGGACCCCCCCAATCCCAAAACCGTGGCGGAGCCCCTGCAAACAGATAAGCCCTGAACATTTAACTTAGGCTAAAAACAATGACTATCAAATTATACAAGTGCTGTAACCGCCATCAGACAGTTTACAATCCAGCCGACTCCAAGACGGCTGCAGCATTATTCTCATGGCTACTCATTGAGCTGTCTCGGCGGCCATCCAGTATAGCACAGCCGCCTCGTTTCGCTGTCATCTCATCAGGCGGAATATCACTGTACCGACACGGGTCCCATCCTGACCCAGCCGACCTCGAGAGGTCGACGGGGGCCGCTGGAGGAGCGTCCCGTCCGACCGCGGTCTGCAGGGCTAGGCCCTGGGGAGCGACCTCTGAAACTCGAGGCTGGGGCTGATGGCTGGCAGAAACCGCTACAATGTCTGTAATAAGTTAGAGGCGTTCGCCAGACATGGTAGCCGCTACTGTCTGCTGCTGTCAGCTGTTACATGATAGCCGGTCACTGACTCTGTTGTCATGTCCCTTTGGAGCTCAAACACAACACCCCAGACACAGCGAACTTTTATAGAGCCAGACTATTAATTAAACATTGTTCCTAAACTAATGATAAACTTCAACAAAATATGTCATAATAATAGTCTGGAGTATACTACTCGTAATTGCTACGAGGGCCCGCCTTTTGTAAACGAGTCAGATTACTGTAAACCAATAAGTACGGGAAAAATTATTATTTCATCTGAATGGCATACCTAATGTCATCCGAAGTTGACAAACGAAGCATGCCCAACTAAAACATCATAAATTAAGTTTTATATTTAACACGGTGTCAAACTTTGTTTAGTCCCCCAAAATGGCATCATGGTTGAATATCTAGGACGTTCTTTTTAACTACGTTGATGGTGAAGTCCAAAAGACGAGCGGCAAACAAAAAACTTTGGTCGTTTTTCACGTCACTGACTTTATTAACAACAGCTTTGCCCTTCTTTACGTGCTGCTACGTGGTTTCAATCAAAAAGGCCAAAAAAGCCAAATGATAAGGTCTGCCTAAGGATGAAGGACGATCGTACCTTCGCTCAATATACCCTGGGTCGTACCTGAACACTAAACGTGCTCGTATGAACGGTCTTCATATGACATGATACTGATGATCGTGCGTCTTCCTATGGCATGATTTCTGGATGACTGATAAAGCCTTCAATGCAGCCGTTCTAGTCGACAGAGAATAGCCGTTTTCACGACGGGCTATCCAGCGAATGCACTTATTTGACCAAATCTGCACCTAATCTGCACCAGATGTGCACCAAATGTGTACCAGATGGCCGTCGTGAAAATGACTAGAGAATAGCTACCACGCAGTGAGACGAGAACTGTTGCTGAGATCTCATGGGGCCAGTCATACTTGAGCTGGGGACTGGAGTCGCAGGCTCCTGACGAATTTGGAGCCAGTCGTACCTGGGGACTCAGAGACCAATCGTAAATACTTCAGGACTTTAAGACCGGTAGTAAGTACCAGAGGACTTATGCACGGTCGTGCTGAGGACTGCAGGTCAGGTCGTGCTGAAGACTGTATATGCTGCAGGTCTGGTCGTTCCTGAAGACTGGAAACATTCGTAACCCAGGGCGGTGGAGCCGCTCCTTATTACGCCTATACCGTATTCGTCGCTAGTCGGAGTCATGGTCTGGGTCGCGCTGTTCACCCCAGACGGCACCTGATGGTCCGGCGGCGGCGCTCGGTCGGCACCCGGGTCACGTTCGCCGGCTCTCTGCGGTGACCCAATCTGAGCGGCGCCCCGCTGCCCGACGATAAATCCGGACCGTGACACCAGCTGAGTGATTCTGACCGAGCCGCCCGATAGCTAACGTCACTCGGAAACCGCACAGTCTAAAAACGTCACACCTTTCTCTCACCGCCATCTGGTTCTGTATGCTCAGCGAGCTCCAAGTATAGCCAAATTTACTAAAACTTTAAGAAAATGAGCACCCGGTGCCCTACCTCGCCGTGCCGGTATGGTGTAGGTCACAGGGTTCCCGTTTCCGTCTACGTGATAGCAAATCCATCAACACAAGTGGTCTAACATTAAAGGGACCCTCCCACCTTAAAAAAGTTAATGAATTGGCATAAAAGTGGTGTACCGTGAATCAGAAAGAGCGAAAATGAACATCTACCAAATTTCACCGAAAAATATTCACCCGTTTTTGAAATATAAGACTTTTATTTTATAACGCGCGGTCAATGGGCTTGATGACGTCATCAGAGTCCGTTAGTGTTAAGAGATAGGGACTACGCTGGTCCCACCCTGCAAGTAAAGGGAAGAAATTTCTTGAACACTATAAAGCTGCGGGGGTTGCGACCAGGATAAATGGTGGTTTCTGAGCCTGGCCGCAAACTTGGCTATCTCAACTCAAAACTAATGTTAAGGTGGGAGGGTCCCTTTAACCCTCGCGGGCCCGGGGGGGGGGGGCGTTTTTCGCCCCCCCCCCTAGCGAATATTTGCGATAACTCCCGAACGCTTAGGGATAGGAAGGCGAAACTTTCAGTACCTTTTCTCCCATCAATTTGACATCTTCTGAAGTAAAAAATTTGGACCTAGCCCCCTTGATGACGTCACAAGGTCCATTTTTCTAGACCCCTGCACGGCAAACTTCGGCGTCACAGACGCAAACTTCAAATAGCTGCTAAAAATAGAGTTTTAGAGATAAAGACAAATTACGAGCACGGCTGTGTAGCGTTTGACCTAGAGAAAAATAGAAAAATAGTTTTGGTGACCTGAGGTCAGAGGTCAGGTCAACGACCCCGAAATGTGGTTTTAGTTTTTCGCAAATAACTTCGACAAAAATGGTCCTAGAGCTACGGCAGTGGTACCATCGCATTCGCCTTGTCAAGCCGCGTCGAATGATATATATTTTGTTCGGAAAAGGTCAAGTTTCATGTTGACCTCATGTGACCTCGAATGACCTCTGGTTGACCTTGACACATGAAAGGTCGTTTATGATGGATTTGTACCCGCTGATCACGAATCTGTCATCTATTTTCCTTTAAGCCTTCATTTAGAGCTTCCGGATGGCAAAATTGTCTTATTTATTATTACTAACTTGAATCAGTGAAATAGCCTCTAGCAGGGATACTCTTCTGTGACCTTGACCTTTGAGCAGCCTTGTATCGTAAGATGAACCACAAATAGGGAACTGATAAGCCTCAAAACATTTCAAAACATCTTGGAAGTCAGCACGCAAGATGTGCGAAAAAGTGCCAAGTTTGAGATCAATTTTGAGCGTGACCTTGACCTTGACCTTTGATTTGGAGCACATTTTCAGAATCCTCAGATTCTCTTCTTTCGTTTGACACCCAATTTTACCGGTTTGATGCAGCCTGCCGTCCTCTAAAAGGCTTACTTTGAGATCACTTCACATGTGCCGGTTTTGGCCTTTGACCTTGACCTCTGACCTTGAAAATTGACCTGAGGTCAAAAATTTTAGGTGCATTAGAATCGTCTCGTAAGAACCTTTCGTTTGGTATCACTTTTGTTTCCGTAGCTCCCTTATTTACGGAGTTAGACAGGGGGGGGGGCGAAAAACGCCCCCCCGGGCT